GTGTGTGTGAGGGGCATCGTGTGTGGGGGAATTGTGTATGTGTGTGTGTGTGAGGGGGATGTATGTGTGTGTGTGGAATTGTGTGTGGGGATTGTGTATGTGTGTGTGGGGATTGTGTGTGTATGTGTGAGGGGAATTGTGTGTGAGGGGGATATGTGTGTGTGGGATGTATGTGTGTGTGTGGGAATTATGTATGTGTGTGTGGGGATCGTATGTGTATGTGTGAGGGGGATTGTGTGCGTGTGAGGGGGACTGTGTGTGCGGGATTGTATATGTGTGTGTGTGGATTGTGTATGTGTGTGAGAAGACGGTGTGTGTTTGAGAGGGATTGTGTGTGGGGCAATTGTATAGGTGTGTGGGGATTGTTTGTGTGTGGGTTGCGTGTTTGTGCGAGGGGGATTTTGCGTGTGTGTGTGTGTGTGAGAGACTGAGTGTGTGTGGAATTGTGTATGTGTGTGAGAAGACGATTGGTGTGTGTTTGAGAGGGATTGTGTGTGGGGGAATTGTATAGGTGTGTGGGGATTGTGTTTGTGTGTGGGTTGCGTGTTTGTGCGAGGGGGATTTTGCGTGTGTGTGTGAGACTGTGTGTGTGTGGATTGTGTATGTGTGTGAGAAGACTATGGTGTGTGTTTGAGAGGGATTGTGTGTGGGGGAATTGTATAGGTGTGTGGGGATTGTGTTTGTGTGTGTGGATTGCGTGTTTGTGCGAGGGGGATTTTGTGTGTGTGTGTGTGTGTGTGTGTGTGTGTGTGTGTGTGTGAGCCCAGACAGGGCTCTGTGCAGGGGTGTGGCTCGTCCTGGGTCGTTAGTGGCCCACGGCTGAGCAGCACCCCCAGCAGAAGGGGACAGGTGTCAGGCTGGGATGTGACTGGTGTGCCTGGCGGAAGCTGAGGGTGTGGCCGAGGTCCTCATTAACCCGGGCTCTGCCTGTCCCCCTGCCCTTGGTCGCGTGGCTCCGAGGGATGGTAAGTGGGGGCTCCCTTCATGAGGAGAAGGTGCCACTGGCCCAGCGGCAGGTGGACCCCACACCCTGCTCTGACAGCAGAGCCACGAGCCCACCTTGGAGGTGTGGCTGGTCACGATTTCGGCAGCCACCCAGGTGCTGACATCGTCGGCGTTTCTTAAAAGCTGTAGCAGGTACTTGTCCTGGACGTAATTGGGCAGAAATAAGCTGCAGGTTTTGGCCGACAGAGACTCGGAGGAGCTGGATCTGGAAGAGAAGCTGTGCACGTCACCCGGCTGTAGGGGGCTCTCTGTGCAGGGGGCCGGGGTCTGGCTGAGAGGCCACTCCCGCGGGACGGGTGAGACCCAGGCATCTCCTTTCCGCCAAGAGAGTCCGTGAGACTCTTAGGGAGGCCCCCAAGACCCTCCCGCCACCCCCCAAACCAAGGGCCTGGGGACACCGCGGGACGCTCACTTGGGGAAGGCTGTGCTTTTGTCCACGACTCCCAGGGCCCGTGAGTTCAGGAAGTGGACAGGATGGCACTTTTGAAACAATTCCTGCCCAAGACACGGAAACAGAAGTTCAGGCCCTGTCCCCAAGGCCTCGTGGCCAAGGCAGGGTTCCAGGGAGGGCGGAGGTTTCGGGGGATGCTTTCTACAGTCTGGGGTTCAGCACCCACCCAACAGCCCGCAGGGCCTGGCCAGCAGGGCTCCTCGTGTGTGTGTCCTCCCAGGGGCTCACGGCGTCCTGCCGGCCCTGATGGGATTGCTGGGTCCCGTCACTGCTGTCACCTGCCACATGGCATGGGGTCCCAGGGTGGTGGGGACCAAGGAGGGGCTGCCTGGGCTGTTTGGGTGGGAGCAGAGGAAGGAATAGTGCAGAGGCACGAGGACCCAGGACTGCTAGGGAGGGGGGAGGACCCAGAGCCCACGCGGCCCCAGGACACCCTCCCGTGCCCGAGGAGGGGCTGGAGCGCCTGGAGAACCAGGGTAGAGGGAGGCGCCAGGCCCAGCAGGCGGCAGGCACCGTGGCCTGCGCTGGTGGAGGAGGCCCCTAGAGCCCAGGCCCCTTCTGGGCTCCCGACTGTAGGCAGGAGCTCCCCAGGCCTGTGCACTGGGCACCTGGCCCGTTCCCTGACCACGGCCCTGTTCCTCCAGGAAGCCCCCGCTGAGGGCCCCGTGGTGGCTATGCCCCTGGCACGCCGCGGAGGACCGAGCGCAGGGTCCTCAACCTCCCCCACCTGCTGCAGCAGCGTCAGCTGACTGAAGAGCTGGTGTGTGCTGTACTCCGTCAGGAAGTAGGGCCCCTTCTCGCTGGTCCTGGCGCAGGGGCCGTAGAAGTCCTCGAGGAAGCAGGGCTTGGGCAGGGCGGCGGCGATGGTGTACGGCCGCTCCTTGTGCTGAGGCAGCACCAGCCCGTTGCCCCGGGGCAGCCTCCAGGGGAAGCTCTGCAGGGCAGGCCAGGCGCTGAGGGGCCTGAGCTCGGCTGTGCCCACCAGGGGACAGGGGGCAGGGACAGGGTGGGGACCAGGCCGGGTCCAAGCCCAGGACTCCTCAGACTGGCTCTGCTACAGCCTGAGAGCAACACCTGCCCACCCACAGCTGTTGGCACAAGGACACCTGTGCTGGTCATTTCGATGGTTCCCCACGGACAGAGCTGCTGAGTTTTGGGGCTGTCCCCATATGTTGATGGAAGGGCCAGTCATCTCCCCACAGTGGTCTCTTCCACCCAGGTCTCAGGCCTGAGGGTCAGGAAGGTGTGGGGCTGAGTTACAGCAGGATCCTCACCTGAGCACCCGGGCCAGGGCAGGAAGTGCCAGAGTGGGGACACAGAGAGTGCACGGGTGCACTTACGTATATGAGCGTGCACACACAGACATGCATGTGCATGTGTGCATTTGCACAAATGTGCTTGTGTGTATATACACACATGTATGCATGTGTGCATGTACACACACGCTTAAGTATGCACTTGTGTGCATGTATGTGTGCACGTGTGTGCACACGTGCCTTTGCACACATATATACGTGTGCATGTGTATGCACATGCCGTGTCCTTGAGGCTGGGCTCAGGGAGCCATATCCACCTCCCCTGGGAAAGGTGCCCACCTTCCGGGAAATGCCGTCCTCTGAGAGCCTCTTACAGAAGGCGTTAAAGGGTCTGGTGTCCTCCTCGGCCTCTTTGGGGTCCTCCAGGTCCGCGCCTCGAGGGGCGCCTTCGGCCCGCCGGTCCGTGCGCACTTCCAGGAGGCCCAGCAGGTGCTCGGCAGAGCCGTCCAGGGGCAGGATCTGGCCAGAAGCATGAGGGGGGGTCACTGCCACCTCCAGGGTGAGGGTGGCACCTCCCACCGTGGGAGCCCCACGTGTGGCGTCCACCTTGGAGGAGAGGAAGTCTTCCAGCCGGCCCAGCAGCCCCGTGTTCCTGGTGAAGTCCACAGCGTAGCAGTCCTCCACCCAGGCCTGCAGGACGCAGAGGCTCCGCTTGTAGATCTTGGTGAAGGTCGAGGTGGGGTCCTGCTGCGCCCTGGAGGCACACGGAGCAGCCTGAGGCGCCCGGGGTGCTGGGGGAGTGGGCAGAGGGCGGGGGCAGCGAGCCAGCTCTCCCGAGGGCAGGGCGGGAGCCAGTCTCCTCACGTGGGGAGTTGAGGGCGCCTGGGGGGCCTCCTGTGGGTCCCTCCCCCACGGCCGGAGCTGAGCTGGGCGGGAGGGTGCACAGGGTGTCCCGGGGGTGAGGACAGGCCAGCTCAGAGAGGAGGCCGAGCGCCTCCAGCCACAGCTGCCGCCCTCTCCCGCCCCGGGAGTATAGGTTTTTGGCGGTTGCTGTCAGTGCTGGATTGTATATCCCTAACTCATCACGGTCTACAGGCGTCCACGCTTACCAGTCTGAGTGACGAGGGCAAGACTTCCCTCCACTCCCCTCCTGCTGCCCCCCATGCATAAAGTCCTGCCCACCTGCGAGCGCCTCTCTCTGTTTCCCGGGTGCCCCCTCGGCCCCCACCCTGACCTTTCCCGCCCAGCCTCTGCTGGCCCCTCACCCTCGCTGGGGCCCTGGGACCGCCTTGCCCTCCACAGCGGCCAAATGCGCACGGTGGGGGCCCACCCACCCCGGCTCGGGAGCCCCGCTGTGTACCTGGACAGCGTGCTGCCGATGCGGTCCAGCAGGAAGTGCAGGAAGTCGTGCGGCGTGCAGAAGTAGCGGAAGGTGTAGAGGAACTGCTGCACGTAGCCCTCCAGGAAGGCGTCGCTGGGGGGAGGGGGCGGTGGTGGCCTTAGCGAGGCAGGCAATGGGGGCCCTGCTCCCACCGCGCCAGCGTGCCGGGCACGTGTGACGCTGTGTGCACGGGGCCCTCGCAGGACAGTCACCCGGAGAAATGGAGGGGGGCTGACATTCAGAATCCCCAGCCCTTTACAGCACGAGGACCTTCCATCACACAGACTGGGTCTCTGCGTGCAGAGCATGCGCGCTCAGGGAGCTGCAGCGCATGCGCACTGGCCCAGCTCCACGGCGGGAGTTGCTGCCTCGGGGAGGGCGGTGGGGCCACGGCTGGAAGGTTCTCAGTCCCACTGACTGGAACCAGGCAGGTGAGCGTCACCCCAGGGACCCCGGCGTCCACGTGCAGGTCCATGAGAGCCTGGGGAGCGGGATGGCCAGTGCGCAGAGGGTGCGGCACCTGGCAAGGCCGCCTCCTGAGCCAGGGGAAGGGGTCCGGGCGCAAGACGCCGTGTCCCAGGAGTGAGGGAGGCTGGTCACCTGCTCGGCCCCGGGACCCCTGGTGGCCACAGCTCAGGCCAGGGAGCGGCCAGCGGCCCTGTCACAGCTGGGAAGGCCCCGTGAGCACTGCCTGCCGAGGAGGCTCTGCCTCGATGGAAGCGCTGTGCTCGCATGCACATG